TTGAGCACTGAATCCTTCCGGAACATCACCAGGTTACCCATCATCACATGGCACACCAGCTCCTGTAGCTGGAAGGCAGAATGCCATGGGTGAGCAGGGGGGAGTGGCTCCATGCCCCAGGGTTCGCAGCTTGCCAGGCAAACAGCTCAGACAGAGGCCTGGCATGGCAAGTGCTGCCCACCCTGTAGAGCAGGGCCCCGTGTGAGCAGAAGCCTGCAGGGAGCTGTACCTCCTCCCTCCAGCCAGCTGCAGGTGGCTTGTAAATCAGAGCAACTGGAGCTGGGGGTGATGCAGCTGTCAGAGGCGAGCAGATACAGAGCTTAACAGCTTCACACATCAACACCAGGCTGGCAGGGGTGGGAGAGTAGTGCACAGCATGCAGCAGGGCCAGGGTGCTGCCCAGCCATGGAGGGAGTCACCACATGGCATCTGGATCCTAGCTGCCCATCTGGAGTGCAGGCTGCCAGGCCAGGCACCCAGCCGGTACCAAGTGCTTTGGTTAGCACCGAGGTCGCAAGCAAGGCATAAGCCTAGGAGCAGGGATGGCCAGCTGTGAACCAGCCCCTGCCTCAAGCTCTGGGAAGGATGGAGGGGGGGATGGAGGCACATGCTGCCCTGTGGCTGTTTCCAGGGGCTGGCTCAGTGTGGTGCACAAGCTGCCAGCCAGGTGAGGCCAGACCTCCTTTGCACCCTGTGGGCAGGGGGAACCACTGTCCTCATGGCCAGAACACAGCAGGGAAAAAGATGAAGCCAGCAGGGAAGAATGAGCGGAAGAGATGGACAGAGCGGATGAGGGAGGGGAAAGGAAATGCTGTACCAGGAACAGCTCGAGCCTGTGCCCTGTGGGTGGTGATTGAGCAGTGTGGAGGTGAGGGGAGCCTGTCAGGGCGCCCCCCACAACTTGGGCCCAACCCTGATCCCAAAAAGACACTAGGAAAGGAGGGGCTGGGTGAGAGCATGCGTGCCTGGGACTGCTTCCAACCCAGGCTGGGTAAACAGGGCAAGCAAGAGGTTATCAGCACATCGTGCCCAGACAGAGCAGAGCTTGGCGCCTGGCTCCGAGCACCTGCCACATTCCCGCCGGCTATTTTTGGGTCCCTCTGGCTGGCGTCATGGCAACTCAGCAGTGCAGCCCCTGCCAAGAGGGTCTCGCCAGGGCTCTGTGCCCTGCTCACCCTGCTGGGGAGGCTGAGCTGCCCACTTACCTGGGCAGAGTCGATGACAGCCACAATCATGTTCAGCAGCTCCCCGCTTCGCAGGGTCTCATCTGGGAACTGAAAGAGTCCAAGCGCAGAGTGAGGCTCAGGAGGGGACGGCCGGGAGAGCGGAGCTGGCCCTGCTGGTCTGTGTCCAAGGCCACACAAGCTCTCCAACAACATCCAGCAAGATGCTGCTGCCGCCCTGTGTGCCCGCTGTGTTCAGCTCTACAATGGCCCTCCCTTACAGTCTACCCAGCCCTGAGCAAACCCGCTTGTTTTTCATGAGGCTGGAGCTGGCAAGTGTGGCTGTGGTGCTGGGAACCCTGCCCAGTGCCAAGGGGCCTCCTGCAACACGGCCCACATTGATTCTGGTGTTGTGGACACAGCAGCAGTGGAAAGGGGGCTGTTTCATGGGGTAGAAGTCAGCTGGGCCAGGCACCCCTGGAGCCAAGCCCACGCTTCCCCCATAGCTGCAAACTTGGCTGAAAGCTCCTGGGCTGCGTGTGGTTGCAGGAAGCTGCAGGGAACAGGGCAGAGAGGTGGGGCAGGGGTATGATACACAGGCAGGGCTGGCTACAAGCATGGCAGCCCCTAGAACCTGGCCCCCAGGCCTTGGCCTGGCCTGCGCATGGGAGTGGGAATAGCAACACTCTGCAAGGGACCCGGGCCAGAGCTGACCGCTGCTCTCAGCCAGGAGCTACTGCCCAAGGCTGACCTGCAATGCTATGTCTCCTGTTGCACTCACCCCTGCCCCAGCTGGCTGCAGGCAGCACTCATGGGATCTGTGGCTGCTCCCCTCAGCTAGTGCATGGGGAGAAGGCCAGGGGGAGCCCGCACTTTGCACTGCACAATGCCACAACCATTGCAGGCTTTTGAAGGGCATGAAGCTGGCAGATTGGGATGGCCACTGGACAGCAGCCCATGCCACCCCTCCCAGGGCCTGGCTGGAACGAGTCTGTGAGGGGTTGGAGGTGAGAGTTGAGCCTGTCAACATCCTGGCAAGGGAGAGGGAACAGCAGCTCCACCCAAGACCATGTTGAATCATGGGAGCCCTAATCCCTGAGCCCTACGGTGCAGCCGTGGGCTGGGGCAGGGGCTGGGGCCCTCCCCCTCTCCTTGGAGCGTGCTCTGCAATCCGGCACCACATGGGGCCCAGCAGGCAGGTGGGCTGCTCCAAGCTGCCTCCAGATGGAGGCCATGAGACATTCATTAACCCAAGGGTTCCCTTGCAGGCTCCCTCCCTTGCTGCTTTCGCTGGCCCCCAGAACACAGCAGCTAGTGAGCACAGCCCTCTCCAAGCCCTGGACAGCCGGCTTCGCACTGCACGGGGCTTTTGACTTAGGACATAACATGTTCTCACTGTGGCAGGAACAGAAGGGAAGTTGAGGCAGCAGCTGAGGAATGCCCCAGGGGCCAGGGCTGGGACCAGCGGGGCCTGTGCTCCCAAGCAGAGACCCCAGTCCCAGGCAATCAAATGGAGCAGGCCAGGCTCTTACCTCTGTATATATGGAGGGGGTGAGGTAGCACAGTAGCCGCACGTCATCCTCCTGGCAAGCTTTCATGTCCATCATGAGGCACGTGTGCAGGTCCCCCAGCTGCGTGGCCTGGGCGAAGGACTCGTACAGGTTCATCTTTCCGGCAGCTGCTTTGCTGCAAGGGGCAGGAGCTGGCGTGAGTGCTGGCTAACAGGCACTGTGCCAGCCAGTGCCAAGGCACCGAACACTTGCCCCAGCCCATGCTCGATGGGCGGTGCTAACACCCACATGTCCTGTTCTGACCAAGTCCTAGCTGCAGCCTGACTGCCCCCAGTGCCAGGCCCTGCTGCCCGCATAGGCCTACCTGGCTTTCAGGTAGTAGAGGAGATGGTAGCCGATCTTGGGCTGCTTCTGGTAGAGCTCGGACAGGAGATCCAGCAGTAGGGAGAAGCCGCTGTTGTCCTCCTGCATCTGGCAGAGATTCCTTGAAGGGTATTGGGGAGGGGGAGATAGGAGAGAATGCCACCATGGATCTCAGACAGGCCAGTGCCCAGTACATGGGCTCAGACAGGAGTGTCCTGTGCAGCTAGGAGAGGGGGGCCCAGTGGATACAAGCAACTCAGGGCATCTCTGGCCAGTCAGATGTCCCCTCCTGGAGCCTCCAGAAGCAGCAGACACCAGGATGCACCTCCCAGCAAGCAGCCTCAGAAGCCAGGAATCCATGGGCTGGGGCTATGCAGAGTCACAGGGCAGGCGATAGGCTCCAGGTAAGCCCCCCTCAAGACACTCTCAGGACCCAGCTGTCACAGAGGCTTGTGGGGACAGAGCTGAGGGCTTGGTCCTGGTGCCCCTGACCTGAGGCACCCTTGCAGGTAGCCCCTGGTGTGTGGCATGCTCTGCTGAGGCCACATGGCAGCAGAGAAAGAGTGACCAGGATGGAGCTGAGGCAGCCTGCAGTGAGCATGTGGGGGCACCCAAAGCACTCCTCCCTTCCATCCCATCAGTGCGGGTCCAAGCTCTCACCCACATACCTAAATATTAGGTAAAGCGGCTTCCCCACCGACTCCTCCAGAGACCTGCGGGGAAAGCACCAGGTCAGACAGGCCCCAGCACGTGCTGCTTGTGGTCAGCAGCTCCTGGGGCTCAGCCCCGTGGAACAGACCCTCAGCATCCCCGGCAAGTGTCTGCCCCACTTCCTCCATGCACCAAGGCTGGACACTGCCCTGGGGGCCAAAACAGCAGGTCACTTGGACATAGGAGCCCCCAGGAGCTCCCTAAGCAATGAGTGCCCCTGCTCTCACTTCCCACATGCTAAGAAGTGGGGGGGAATGGATCGTTTCACTGGAGGCTGCATCCTCCAGCTGCCTGCCTCAGCAGGACATCGGTCCCTGCTGCTCCACAGCTTCCCTGGGCCAGACTACACAAGCTTCCCACGTGCCAGGATGCTGGAAATGGTAGAAACCCGACTCTCGGCATGGAGGGATGGGAGAGAGAGGAGAGCCCTCCTTACTCTTCTGTGATTTCCTCTGGCAAAACCTCCCCGCGGAAGTGCGCCTTGAAGAGCTCCTGCAGACAGGAGGCCAGCACCGAGAGCTGCTCTGAGTCGAAGTCCTCCTGATGGAGAAAGGATGAGAAGGGGAAGTTGTTCTACCACCTGACCTGGATTTGAGCAGGTCGTGCCCAGCCCAGAACATGGCACCGTGTGGCTGGGACCTGGGCTCACACTGTTGACAGGAGAGCAGAGCTGGATGGGACCCCACAAGACCACATCTAGTCCAGCCCCCTGATCAAGGCAGGATCATCCTCAACTAAACCATCTCAGCCATGTGTCTGTCCACCTGCTCTTGGAAACTTCCCCCACTGCTCAGGGCAGCCTGTTCCAATGCCCGACTGTCCCCAGGGGCAGGAAGTTCTACCTCATCTCCAACCTGTTTCCCCTGCTGCAGCTTGAGGCCACGGTTCCTAGGCCCGTGCCTGACGGCTCCAGAGAAGAACCCCTCTCCACCCCCCTGGTAATCGCTGTTGCTATAGCACAGTGAAGAGAGCTGCTGTCACAGCTGGTTACCAGCAAGACGGGCACTTAGCAGACACCTGGGGCTGCAGCATTTTGGGAGCTGCCAAGCCTCTGGCTCCCAGTTTCCCCTCACCCAGTGACAGGGTTTTAATGAAGCCCGTGAATGTAGCCCTGGTTCTGGCCCAGTACAGGCTGGTCTCTGCTCAGGCCCCCTCCCAAGCAGGCTGGCACAGCCGCACTGGGGTCCCGCGCTGGGTGGGAACGTGGCTTTCGGGTCCCAGTCATTACCTCCAGGACTTGATCCACGATTTCCTGCATGACCTCACACTGAGCTTCCGTGTCGCTGAAGCACAACAACAAGAGGAAATCCAAGTTATGCAGGGAGATACTGAGCGCGGGGACAATAGCACTTTGTGCTGAGCTGGCTCGGCCTGGGAGTGCAGAGGGCCTGAGAGCTGGTGGGGGGCGCGGACGAGGCAGTGCTTACGGGAAGGAGAGGCCCGAACACGCGCTAGGCTGATGTAGCACCTGGTGCTCACTGCTCCGGGCACGCACGTACAGCAAACTAATTAAGTGACTCAAGCAGATGAAATGCATGGACAGCTACATGGGCATTGATCGCTGTAGCCTGCGGTGCCATGGGGCAGGGTGAGTCCAAGGTCAAGGATAGAAGAGGAGACTATGGAGAGCTCCAGGGGGCACGTGGCACCCCTTCAGCCCAAGGTGTCTAAGGCACAGGGAGGGGGACCAGCCAGCTCCTCTCAGGCAGGCGCTGCCATTAGGAGAAGCCCACCAGGCTGGCATGGCCCGTCTCTCACCAGTCACTAAGGCTTGGGTGCAGCTGCAAAGGCTGGGTTGCTCCAAGGAGAGTGGGAGGAGCAGGCTGTGGGCAGGATGACACGGAGAGCTGCCCCCTTGCCAGCGCTTGTTCCAGGGACAGAGACCCCCCAAAGGCGCCCATCTGTGAGGGGCCAGGGCAGACTGGTGGCAGGAGACAGTCTGCCTGGGCACCTCGCAGTCACAGATCTGTCCATGAGCATTTCTGAGCCAGTCTCCAGTGCTGGGGATCTGGGGTGGCCAGCTGCACCCCGAGCACCTGGTGAACGAGCGGCAGGGGGAAGAGGTGGGAGTGCGAGTCCTTCAGCAATGCCCACCTGCCCTTCTGCAGCAACACAACTTTGTCCTTCAAAGACTCGTCCAGCTGGTCCAGGAAGGGCGTGATGTCGACAGGCTCCTCGATGATGGTCTCTTTGATTGGGTGGAACCGGAACTCCCGCTTCTTCCCTGGAGAGAGGGGAACGGATGACTCAGCTGGGTGGCCTGAGCGATAGGTCTGCAAGTACCGCGTGCCCTGGGAGATGAACCCTGAGCTCTGTACAGACTCTGGACCTCTGACTGGGGAAGAGGCTTGGAGCAGGGCTGCTAGGCCAGGGACCCTCTTGTTTCAAGACTCAGGACCCCACCACCATGCCTCCTCTCCCTGTTGCCATTGCTGTAGCATCCTAGAGATAGGTCCTTCAGGAGCTGTGTGCACATGTCTGCTCAAGGTGACTGGCCCCATTCTCAAGCCTCCTGCCCTCCCAGGCATGTGGCCTTGGGGTCCTGGTCACTCCTCTGGGCCCAATACCCCAGGCAAATGCTGCTTCTCAGGTCCCTCCCCAGCCCAGACGACCCCCAGCCAGGGCACTTGAAGCCCCCACAGCTGTTTCACAGTGGGATGCATGTCAGAAGCTGAAGGGATGGGTCACCATACTGAGGCTCCCACAGGTCTGCAGCTCCCGAAAGCAGAAATTCCAACTGCAGACAGGCCAGGCGGCTCGGGGGCCGAGACCTAACTTCTCATAAAGCCTGACTGCAAGCTCACTGAGTGCATGAGGCCCAAATGTCATGAACATTGCCTGTTCAGAGCCCGGCCAGTCTGTACTGCTGCTGCCGGGAAACCCCCCAACCAAATCAGGCATGTGAGCTAGGCTTGTCATCTATGGGTCCCAGGAGAGTTGGAAACCAAGGTGGACCCATGAGCCAGACTGGGGGGCAGCATGGGAATCTCCTGCAGCTGAGGAAGGGCCACATTGGAAGTAGCTATCCAGAGAGACGTGGCCCAAGCTGCTCTCCCCACGGCAGTAGGTCCTGGGGCAGCAGTTGGTGGCTGCAGAACTCTGGGCAAGTGCCGTCCCCTTGCAGGACAGAGCTGCACAGGCCCTAAAGCTGCCTGGGAAGGTGCAGCATTCTGGGAACTGTGCTCCCAGCGTGCTCCCTCTGCCTGGCTCCTTTGGGAGGTTTCTGAACAGAGCCTGGGGGGTCCGCGACTACAGCTAATCCTGCTGGGTAAATCCAGTGGCACTCGGGAGTGAGCTGACGCCGGCTGAGCAGGGCTGCACTGCGCCGCGCCGGCCACCTCACCTTTGCTGTTCAAGTCCTCCTCGTCATCGCTGAAAGCCGCCTCCGCGTTGTCATAGCAACTGTCATCCTTGTCAGACATGTGATTGTCCATTTCCATGGAAACCGGCTCCTCGATTTTGACTGCAAGAATTGGGCCAAGGAGTCAGCGCACTTGTGGGGTCCCCACAAGCTAGGAACAGGGCAGGGCAGGTTTCCATGGGCCATGGGCGGCCTCCCCCAGGGGAAAAGGGGAGAAGACCAACTAGGGGAGCTGCCATGACAGCAAGCAACCTTGCCCAGAGTGGCTAGGGCTGCGGGGCTAAGGGGGACACCAAACTATCACCAGCCCTGGAAGTGCCCTGGAGCTCCACCAGCCCATGGCACTGTGTACTCCAGGCCAGCAGCATCCTGCCACTTCTTCCCCTTGCCTGCGGTCAGACAGCTGGCAGCAGCTGAGGGGCAGGAGGGAAGAAGGCTCCTGCTAGTGCCCCGACCGCTCCATAGCCAGATCTGGGCTGGACATTGGGCCTGCGATGCACAGGTGTGAAAACACAGAGCCTCCAGCTTGGCTGAGCTCTGTGGTCTGCCCCTCAGCTGGTGTGATGCCCTCCCCTGGCTCTTGGCTCATTCAGGGAGCCAAGGGCAGCTAGCAGGAGCCATGGCCTCCAAAGCACTGGGTGCCCTGCTGACACCCACCTTCGATGGGAGGCGAGGGTGAGCTGCAGAACTCAGGGAACTTCTCCCTCAGCATAGCCCGGAGCTCCTTGTCCAGCTTGGGGTTGTCAAACAGGGGAGCCAGGTGCCTGACGGGGATTAAGATGGGGTGAGATAGGACCATGTGCAGGTGCTTTTCCCTGTTCTGCCCACGTGCCAGGCCAGATCCCCCAGTGACCCCTCCTTCCACTGAGGGCAGAATCCTGGCACCTATGTCCAGAGAAGCATCAGGCTTGGTGCAGAACAAAGATTGTCTGACCAAGGCCTTCCTGCTATGCCCTGAGCTCTGGTGCCTGGAGGCAGCCCCGACCTCTGGACACCCACCTGCTTGGTTTTGTGAAGACAGAGGGCAGCCAGAAAGCTGCTGGGGGGCACTTGGGGCTGGCCTGCACCAAAAGTCCCCAAGGTAAAGAAACAGTGGGTTGCTGCTCAGAGGTGGGGGTGGGGAAGGGGCTCTGCTAGGCCCTGGGGGGCTGGAGCCCAGGCAGGGCTGTGGATGGGGGCTGGGAACATCTGGAACCCAGGGCCTGCTTACGCAAGGACACGTTTCTCCACGATGTGCGTGAGGGAGTTGAAGACGCCTTGCCGGACATGGGCCTCCAGTGGGGGGTAGAAGTTGGGAATGATCTGCAAGGGGAGAGAGGCAGTGTTAGTGGGGGGTGTAGACTGACTCCAGCACCCCAGGCTGTGTATGAGGACCCAGGCTGGTCCCACGCACCCAGCCCCTCCTTGTGCTGGTCTGCAAGGGGCCAGGATGGCTCCCTGGGCTCCGGGGCCAAGCCAGAACCTTGGGCCTAGTTCTCTGATCAGGAGGAGCCAGGAGCCGTTCCAATGAGCTGTTCCTGGAATCAGCACCCAGGGGAGAAACTGGGCACGCTGCATGCTCTGCAAAGGAGTGATGCAACCCTGCTCACCCCCACCTTTCCAGAACACCCCAGCCCCCCCAGGACTGTGCTACCAGAACCGCATGTGCCACAACTACGTGTTCCCACGGCCAGGGGTGCCACACCCTTTCCCCTATCGTGGTGGGCCCCCCAGTTCAGGAAGGGATCCCCCTGTTCGGAGGCAGAATCCGGCCCCAAGCAGGGGATGTTGCAATGACATGCTGCTTGCCCGGGAGGGACACATCAAGGCCAGATGTTGCATGTCACATCGAAGGAGCCGTGTGGAGGCCCCAGCCCCTTTCCCCTACTGGCATTCGCAACACAGGGCTTATTTTTGGAGCCGGGAAGTCTCGTGCACACGTGCTCCTTGGAGCTGCATCCACGAATGACAGGCACTTCGGGCCCAAGGCTGGCGGCCTCCTCACTGTCCCGGTTCAGCAAGGGAGCAGCTTTGGGTCTGATAGGGTTTGAGAGTTTGGACATGGGGTGCAAGCCCTGACAATTCAGGCAGAAGGTGGGGGCATGTGGGGGGCGGGGGGCAGGGCTCTAGGTGCTTGGCTAAGCTGCAGGGCACTTTCCTACCTGAAGGGCTTGGAGCCTATCACAGCTCCTCCCAGACCTAGCAATGGGGGTGATGCTGCTACTTACCCGGCACAAGAAGTCCAGCAGTGTGGCCGTGATGGCAGGGTGGGGCTTCATGGAGTGGTGCATCACCAGGATGGCAGGCTCTAGAAGGCAGAGAGCAGGTGGCCCCATCACACACACGGCCCTAGAAGGGCAAGGCCAGGCCCAGGAGAAACCCCCTTTCCACCCCAGTGCATCCTGGCCTCCTGCTCCAGGGAAAGCTGCTGCCCAATCCCATTCTCCCCCACCCCACGACAGGCTCCACATGGCCAAACTGCCACTCAGCCACCACCTCCAACCCCCATGCTAACGACTGAGCTGGGGATGGTCCCACTGTGTGCCCCCCATACCGATGTTCATGATGCTGTCCTTCTCAGGGCTGAAGAAGAGCCAGTCGTAGAACAGGGCGAGTTTGGCATTGGAAGCTGCAACATTGGACTAGGAGAGGGTGAGAAGCCATGTGAGTGCCCTGACCCTGGCTGCACGCCTCCCCCTCCCCACTGACTTCTGCACCCGGCCACGGCCTAGCTTCAAAAGGGATGGGCCTGGGAGTGGGAACTCTTGGGTTTTGTTACCAGCTCCCAGGTGCCTGTCCTCTGGGTTATCACCACCAGCAGAGAGGCGTCTGACTGGATGACAGGACAGTCTGCACCCCCACCCATCCCTGCCTGTCAGGGGACAGGTCTGCCTTCACTTGCGCAGGGCAGGCCACTCCAGCAAGGTGAGAGGGCCAGGGTACTGCAAGGGGGCTGGAAGGAGAGGCAGATGCTACACCACCTCCCAGCAGGCATGACCCATGAGCGCCAGCTGACAAAGATGGGCTGTTTGCAGCAGGAAGAATTGGAGTTAACGAGCCGCAGCTCCCACGGCCTGGCCCCACTCACCGTGCAGGTGGTGAGCAGCCAGCCGATGATGGCCCAGCGTGGCAGAATGTCAGAGCTGAGCACCTCATTGGATGGGTGGACTACGCCACAGATGTAGCGGATAAGGTCGCAGCGCAGTGACTGGCTGTCTGGGGTGGACAGGTACTGCCGCTGGAACCAGTCCTGGTACCGCTTCTGCTGCCCAAACCGCACCTGCAGGGAGGGAGGGAGGGAAGTGCTACTGTGTCACTGGGACATGCATGTCTCACTGGGAGCCCCAGTACCCAGCTTTGCTGGGCCTGCTCCTCTCCAGCTGTGCTGCAGCCAGGAAGATCACACAGGGCCGCTCTCCCTGGGGGCCTGGGTCCCATCCCCCTGCAGATGGGGGTTCTCCTTACCCGGGAGGTCATGAAGAGCAACTTGGTCTCCATGTCAGGGGTGAGCCGACAGGCCAGGAACTTGCGAGATGTCCTCGACTGCAGGAGCTGCAGGACACCTGGGGAAGGGAGAACTGAGGTCTGTGCTTGCCTGGCCCCAGGGTGCAGAGGGGACTGTCACTGGCGGGGAGAAGCCACCCTTCGCCAGGGAGCCCCAGGGCAGTGCTTCACCTGCCCATGGGTAGCGGCATGCGCCATACTGCTCAGTCATTTGTCTTTCCCAAGAATGGATCATGGTTAAAGTGACCCTCATGCCATATCTTGCTGCTGAGCTGTAGCTTTGCAGCTAGTTGAAGCCAAGGTTAAAATTGTCACAGCCTGGACTTATGCTAAGCAGCGGAGTTAAAAACCCAGGCCCAAAGGCTTCTGGGCACCAACAGAGAGCCCAGGCAGGCCAAAGGGCAGAGACTGACTGAGCCCAGTGAAATGCTTCCCCCAGGGCAAACAGGAGACCCTGTCCCACCAGGCTCTGGCTGCTTGGGTCCTCTGGGCACAGCACGGTGCATCGACATTTCATAGTTGATAGGGTCAGAAGGGACCTGAGCAGATCATCAAGTCCGACCCCCTGTCATGGGCAGGAAAGGATGCTGGGGTCAAATGACCCTGGGTAGGTGTCTATCTAGCCTCCTTTTGAAGAACCCCAGGGTAGGAGCGAGCACCATTTCCTTTGGAAGTTGGTTCCAGATCCTAGATGCCCCGACTGTGAAGTAGCACCTCCTGAAATCTAGCCTGAATCGACTCTCCATCAACTTATGGCTGTTATTCCTTGTTACTCCTGGTAGTGCTTGGGGGAACAGGGACTCTCCCATTGCCTGCTGGTCCCTCTTGGCCAGTTTACAGATGGCCACCAGATCCCCTCTCAGCTTTCTCTTGTGGAGGCTGAACAGGTTCAGGTCCTGTAGCCTCTCTTCTTAGGGCCTGCCCTGCTGCCCCCGATCATGTGAGTGGCCCTCCTCTGGACCCTTCTGATGCTGTCCACATCCCTCCTGAAGTGCGGCCCCCAAAACTGGACACAGTACTCCAACTGTGGCCTGACCAATGTCACAGAGGGGGAGGATCACCTCCTTGGACCTGCACGTGATGCATCTATGGATGCAAGACAAGGTGCAGTTAGCCTTCCTGACTGCGTCCTCACATTGGCGGTCCATGTTCAACTTAGAATCAATAATGCAGAAAAGGATCTTGGAGTCCCCTGCACTGACGAGAAGGTAGTTCCCCAGCCTGTAGGTATGCTGCTGGTTCTTCCTCCCCAGGTGCAGTATCTTGCACTCGTCAGTATTGAAACCCATCCTGTTCTCATCTGCCCACCCCTGTAACCTATCCAGATCTAGTTGTAGCCTGTCCTTCTCCTCTAGCATGCCCAGGTGAACCTGGGGAGAAAGAAAACCCCAGGCCTGGTCCCCCCATGCATAGGGACAGCACTGGAAGTTACACCACTCCTGATGGGCTAGGCAGGGCTGGAAGCCCCAGAACACAAGGGTCCCTGCTCCTCCGCGGCCCACCCTCCCCCATGGGAAAGCAGCTGAGCAGCTACCAGCTTTTGCAGGGGCTGCGGACAGCAGGGGAGGGGCTGTCCGTGGGCCACGCAGGTTAATTCTTCATTATGAGACCAATATCTAAGCCTGCCCCAGTGCAAACAAAGGGCTTGAGGAAGCATTAACTCAGAGCCCAAGAGCTGTTGGGGCAGCACGTTTAAGCTCTGCTCTGGAAAGCTTGTTAGCAGATGGATAACGAGGTGCTGGCCTCCGAAGCAGTGAATAATTGATACAGATTTAAAATCCCAGGGGATCGCGTGCAAGGCTCTCTGCCAGGGCTGTTCCATGCCAGCATGTGCAGGACTTGGGCACAGCATGTTCCCACTGTGTGGTTCCAGGGAGTGGGGAATCTGCACAGCGAGGTTTTGACAGAAGCCCCTGGCCCTGGTGTGCTCTGCTCAAGGGAGCTCTGTCAGAGCAGCTGGAGGGCTCTGGCCTGTCCAGCACCGGGGCCTCACTCCAATATTAGCTTTCAGCTCAAGCCATTACAACAAAGGGAGTCTTAAGTCCGGGTCCTACATAGAGATGTGGGCCAGCTGGTGCCAACAGCAGTGCTCTGCTGAGGAGCAGAGTACGGGGCCCTCATGACATGAGAGGCCGTGCAGCCCCAGCCTCCTTCAGGAGCCTTGCAAGGTCTCAACCTGGGCAGAGGACTCCCCTCTGCATGGCCAAGGCCAAAGCTCAGCCCTACCAGCAGCTAGGCCTGTGACCGGCTTGTTGAGACATGTGGACAGGGAAACGGTCTCCTCCAGGGCATCCCAGGTGCTGTACCTCCCACCCAGCTTCGTGCCGTGGCCTGGCACACATTTGAGACCCCTCTGCGTTCAGAGCCCCCCACCTGAGCCAGGGGAACAAGCTCTTGTTCCCAACCTCATAGTGCTGCCACCTGGCTCCTCTGCAGGGCAGGTTGGGGTGGGGGGTGGGGCTGCACACAGACCCTGGCCCCAGGGCAAGCCCTAGAGGTGGGCTTTGGTCTGTAGGTCACGTCTGGAGCTAGCCCTGCAAGAAAGCAGGGAGCAGGACGGGGGGGTGGGGAACAGGACTCCCAAGCCAGGCCTCGCCTCTCCTACCTGTGAACTGGGCACTCAGGGCCTGTGGGTTGTGGATGATGTCCTTCCAGAGCTGCTCGAACTCCGGTATCCTAGCAACGTTCTGCAAGAGTCTCACCAGGTCCCGGCCAATCATGAAGCAGTCCATGAACTTGGGGGAAGAGAAACGAGCGCGCTGTTCACCTGCTACAGGGTTGTGGGGGAGGAACAGGGGATGCGGGTGGAGGGGGGGAGAACATCCCGTTCCCAAGTGCAGCGGCAGCCCCGGATGATTCAGTCCTTGCCCGGCAGCCCCCTGCCCCAGGCGTAGCCACTCTGTTTGAAGGTGGCGGTGGCAGAGGGGGGAGCTGCTGTCAGGGGGATGGGGGAGGAAGGTCAGCGGCTATTTTAAAACGGCCTCCACTACAGAGCAAACAACCAGGCATGGAGCTGCTGTTTTATCTCTGAAGCTCTGCACTTGACATCTGCTCTTTCAGGAGGGGAGGGGAAGTGGCACTCAGCTGGGGGGTTGCTCAAGGGCTGGCCCCCTCCCTGCTGCGGAGAGCGGCTAGTGCCTGTGCAACCAAGACAAGCCAGTGGCGCTGCAGGAACGTGATGGGGTCCCAAGAAGACAGTGACCTCTCTATGGGGCAGGGATGGGGGGTGGCAGGAGATGCCCCCTGGCCCCACACTCTTTCTGCACTTTCTTGCAAGGGCAGTTACCGGCTGATTGGGACCATCTGGGCCCTGGGATGGGGCGAGACAGGCAGGAAGGAGGGGGGGAAATTTCCACCCCCTCAGTCCACAGCTTGGATGTGGGGAACACACCCTAAAGGAGCCGGTGGGGGCGCGCAGTCCAGCTGCCACCTGGCTTTCCCTGCCCCCCTCACCCATGCACCATAGGCTTGGAGATCCTGGCCATCTCACTCCCTGGGATCTGTGCTCCTGGCCACAGTGGGAAGAATACATGCCAGTGCAAGTCATGTTGGAAATGGAGCCATCCCAAGCCCTGTCCCATGTTCCTCACCCGTTCCCGGAGCAGGGTGATGCAGAAGTCCACCTCCTTCTGACGCAGGGCCAGGAGCTGTGGGGTGCCATGATGGTCCACGATGAGCCGTAGGTAAGTGTACACTGCCATGGCGATCAGGATGCTACTCTTGAGCACCCACTCTCTGTGGGGAAGAGGGGACACTGCTATCAGCTGCTACTGCAGCAGCAGCCCAGGCCCTTTGGCCATCTATGCACACGGTACTCAGCCCTGAGGGGCAACAGCAGGAACAGGACCATGGAGGTCCCAACTCCCAGCCCTGCCCTGTGTGTCCTGCCGGCTGCCCCCAAACGTGGGACTGCTGGAGTCAGTCATTGCTTCCAGCCTCAAGCCCACTCCCACCAAGCTGGAGGTCTCGTGACCCCAGCTTCTCCTCCGTCCGAACCTGAAAGAGGTTCATGGCGGGGTCGGCCCTGCTCTGTGAGAGGAGGCACGTGCCATGCGTCTTGGCCAAGTATCACCATGGTCAGGGGTATTGGTGCTGGCTGCCTGTGTCACCAGGCTCTGCACAGCATCCTGGTGCTGCGCTGTACCAGGGGGTCAAAGCCAACACCTCTGTGGACAACTGGCTTCCTGTAGGCACCTGACAGGCCCTGTCCACCCCCTCCATCACCAGCTGTTGCCTGGCTCCTTGTGCCTGGCTTCCAAGCCATGTAGGGCAGGGAGGGGACGGGTGCGAGATGTGTGGATGCAGGGGGCTGCTCTGTGATCAGCCCGTGGGGGGAGGGACCCATTGGGGAGGCTGTGTGCACCCAGAAACGATGAGCAGCTGCTGCTGGGCAGGCCCGATGCCATCACCTATGGGATCCCGCAACTCCAAGTGCATCACGAGCCAGAAAGCACCAGGCACAGCAATGGCTGGAGCAGGGCGAGCTGAGCCAGAAGCTCCGGCCAGGTACCAGGCTGAACCCCACCCTCTCAGCAGGCACAACAGGGCCTGTTAGAACCGATTAGCAGCACGTTGCATGGTAACAAGCACTGCCAGCACTTGAACTGCTTCTCCAGTGGGCTCGGCTCAGTGCTGCCACAGATCTGGGATGAGCAACAGTGCTGGAGGTGGCAGTGGGGTAGCCATACTCACACCCTTATCTGCAAGCAGCACACTGGGAGCAGAGCCATGGCAGCTGCCCAGCCAAGCACCCCTGCCCACCCCAGCCTGGGGGCAGGGAAGGCGATGGGCTATGGATGCAGCCTGCCCCAGGGGTCTGCTCCTCCCCAGCAGGGTCTGGGCTTGCAGTAGGGAGCAGCCAAGGTGCTTCGAGTCCACAACCTCACAAATCCACATCCATCCATTTCTGGTGGAAGGGCATAGAAACAGGCCATGAGCCAGGCTGGTAGTTGACTGGGCTTTACTTCTGGCTTCACCAGCTGAGTTAACTAAACCCCCTCCTCGCACATACCTGGGCCCCTCCCAGGTGCTAAATCCCAAGCCTTCCCCACCCTCTCAAACAGCAGCTCCTCCAAGATCTAGATCTCTGGAATTCACTGGGCCACTTCCCTGCTGCTGCCCTGCACCGGCTGCCCCAAACACAGGGAACCAATTCCATTATCACAGCCCTGCTGGCCCAAAACCCTCTCCCAACACAGCCATGTAGTGGTAACGGGAAGAAACTGGTGGACACTTTTGGCACAACAGATGATCCCAGCTGGGCCAGGGCAAGGCAGCCACACCCCCTGGGGAGATAATGTCCTGTGGTGAGTGAGTCACCTGTCCTAAATCATGAGGGCACTGGGATGCTGTGACAAGTATTTGCTTTCCCAGGCACTTGGTACCACACCTCAGGTGTGCAAGCACGGAGCTTAATTAGCCGCTGAGACACATGGGGGCTGGACATGGGAATGACAAAGGAGTGGAGCCCAGGGGAGGGCAGGTCAGCTGCAGCAATGACAGTGCTGTCAAACGGGGCCACAGGGAACAGCCCAGGGCCAGGGGATGGGTCCATGCAACAGGCCAAGCAAATAGAGGCCTCGTGGGGCAGCTGTATGCCGGCTCAGCCCTCAGCAGCTGTTCCCCGCAGTTTCCGGAGGCTGCGGCACTCGGCTTTGCTCTACTGGTTTTAATTAAGCCAACACACTGACACCCCCCTGCAACACTGGGCCTCACGCCTGCTGCTCCGTGAAAACCTCGCTGTCCCTGCCATCTGAGGGCACTGGGCTCTGCAGGTTCCCTCCCCCTGGCCCAGCCCGGCTCACCCCAGGCCCAAACACCTCCCAACCCACTGCAGCCTGGCACCGGCAATCTGCCGTGGGCTAAGCCTCCCCGTTGCATGTTTCCCTGCCAAAGCCCTGCTGCTGGAGCTGTGATTTAGTGCATTGGGTGGGCCCTTGTGGTGCTGGGCCAGCACAGACTTGGACTGTAAGGAAGGGAGATGCTGTTCTCTGCAGCTGAGTGCTCCCTGGTTATTTGTTTGCAGGATAAAACTGTACGGGGTTTTGGCAAGATGAGCCTCTACTTCAGCAGCAGAATCTAGGGGAGCTACTCTGGGTGCTGCCAGGGCTCGGGTGGGGAGTGCCCAAGCTGGGCTCGGGGTAGGGAGCAGCCAGGGGTAACAGGAACGGTGCTGGGGGGTAGCTGGCAGCGAGGTGAACGCCTAGCAGGGAGCTCTGTGGCATCCCTGGTATGTACACTAGATGGCGCTGCTGAGACCACATGGCTCTGCCGTTCCCTAGCAGGGCTATTAATGGGGCCATTGCTAACTACTGCTAACCACCGCGACCAGCACCACCGTGGGATGGCTGCCACCAGGCGCACAATGCCACTGCCTAGCCGACGCCACACAGCCTGTTCACAGTTGACTAGCTGCTGCATTACCAGCAAAGCACAACATGGACAATGCTCTCGGGTCACCTGCCACAGCACAGGAGAGCTGCAGCCCTGCTGAGGCCAGCCCCGCACAGGACGCTGACAGCCTGCAGCTTGGGCAGGGAAAGGAATCTCCCCTGCCAGGGGGGAGGGTCCCCAATGTCTTGTGGGTGGCTGGAGATGACCCAGCCTCATGGTTTCAGGGCGAGCAGTTACCTGCAGAGGAAGCAGCCATATCAAGGCTTGCACTACTGGCCTGGAGTGCTGTGGCCAGGGGTAGCTGCATGGGACGGTCCCAGGTGGCTGGGTCAGCAGCCTTGCCAGAAGTGCTGCTCCTGGGTCTCAAGGCAAGCCCTGCAGGGTGCTGGCTGGGTCTCAATGGGACACCCAAGCTGGTAGTAACAAACCCTCGCAGCATGCAGGAAACCCATCAGCGCACCCCTGCCCACCCTGTCAAAGTGTGGAAACCCCAGATCTACCCTGCTTTGTGCCCAGGAAGGGACAGCTTCCCCGGCCTCGCCAAGGGACACAGACCTGGCCGCTCCCCAGCTTTGCCCACCCCAGCTGGCTGTCGCTGCACCCGTACCTCTGCTCCGTCAGGATGTCAAGGACGTTGTCTGCCAGCCAGATATTCTTTGCCGTCACATCCCCGCCTGAGACCACGGCAATGGACACGCAAGACAGGACAGAAAAGTTAGATTAATCAATGCGATGTTCTCCTCGGTTGGCATTATCTGAGCCATTGCCTAGCTGGACCGTCAGACCCCGGCAAGGCAGAGGCTGTAATTAACGTCCTGCGCTCCCTGCCTGGTCCCATGCCACCTGCCACAGATGTCTGGTTGCTCCCAAGCATGTGTTGAGCATGTTCCCAGACAAGTGCAACAGATGCCATCACTTCCTGGTGCATGAAAGGAAATCAAGAGGGTTTCTGGTCACAGCGCAGGGGACTGTCACAATGCTGACACCCCTGGCAAAAGGGAATGAGCTAGAGGGGGACAAGACTTCATATCTAGGGTGGAGGCAGCCAAAGACCCAGAGCTCTAGAAAGGGACTGGGCCAGGAAAGTCCCTGGGTCTGGGAGCAGCATGGCACCATGGCCTTGGTTGCATTTCCAATGTGCCACATGCCCCTGGCCTACCAATACCTGTCAGATTGGGAGCACTGCCTTGGAACTGCAAGGCTTCACTCCAAAGCACTTGGACAGCCTCAATAAAGGTGCCTTGCAGGTGCTGAGAGCCTTAGCTGGGCTCCGTAACAGGTCTGCAGTTGCTTGAAGCAGGAGATCTCTACTAGGAGCACTGGGAACCTGAGGGGGATCTGGAGCCTGACTAGGAGAGGCACGAGAGCCACTGCAATAGGTGTTGTGATCAAGCCTCATAAAACAGAGCCGAGCAAGGCTGCAGCAGGGGTCCAGCCCAGGGAGCTGCGGCCAGGGAAAAGCAGTCATGCACCTGCCAAGGGCTTTCACACTATTGTGAGCTGACCCCATGCAGACTGGGGAGGGGGCAGACAGCCTCTTTCCCATGCCTCGGGCCTGGCTGCCCCCTGGAAACAGAGGTGCCAGCTCCCATTTGCAGCCGGCCAGCCTCTGTCACCACGTGGCAATAAAATGAAATGTCAGGTTTGATGATGCGAGGCAGATTTCTCTTCCATGGACGTCAGTGCCTGGCCCTAGCATCAGCACGGGACATGGGGAAGGAGGCAGTGTTGCTCCTGCAGCCTGGAGGGCGTGAAGGGGTCAGGTGCCTTGAAGCTGGGGGGAGTATTTGAGCATCGCTGTGAGGCCAGGCGCTGCCCAAGTGCCTTCCCACTGTACCAGCTGCTTTCCTGGCACTGAATGGGTTGAGTCCTCCCCACTAGCCCACCTTCCCTGAGAGGCCTGGTTGGCTGGGCCTTCCAGCACAGCCCTGCCACAGCTCCATGTAGTCACTGAGGACGCAACACGAGGGGAAGAGAGCCTGGATCCACCAGTCCTGGGCCCCCACTTCTTCCTGCCTGGGACAGAGGCGAGATGGGGCTAGACTGAGCCTCAAGGATGGCTCTGAGCTCTGTGCTGCTGCAGTCAGAGGGGCCCTGGGGTGTGCAGAGAGCAAACGGGCCAAGGCCCATAGGGGCAGCACTCACCTGCAATCTGCTTCATGAAGGTCATGCAGACACCATCGGCACCGAGCACACCGCCCTTCACCAGCTCCCGCAGTAGCCACACCAGCTGGAGGAGAGAGGGGCAGAGTGCATGCGAGACAGCGGATGAGGCACAACACAGACCCTGGCCCTGCCTGAGATGCCCACAACCCCAGAGACTCCCTTTGTGGGTGAGAAGTGCTGCTCCCATCACAGATGGGGTGCACTACTCAGGATGGATGCTGTGCAAGTCCTACTGATGCTGCCCCTGCAAACCCCCCTTCCAGCCTAGGTTCCAGCCTTGTTTGCAACCCCCAGTCCCCCGGATGCAGTCCCCTCCAGCTCTTGGCAGGGCTCCACCATCAGGCTAAGTCCTGTTTGCTCACCTGCGTCCGGCAGGTGTCCTGCAGCTTCAAGTATTTTTCCATGAGGATCTGGTTGATCTTGTTCAGGACAATGTTCATGCCATCTCTGCTCACCAGAGCCAGGTCCCGGTAGCACTGTGGCACAGGTCACACAACCAGTCAAGGCAGAGCTCTTCTGGGGAGCCAGGGCCCAACAGGAAGCATGCTGCTGTGCTCAGACCTGGCCCAGCCACAGTCCCTTTTAGGGGCTGCACTTCAGCTGTGGATGGAAGCGCTGGACCAGCTGCCTTGGAGGCAAAAGGCCTCTGGGTCTAGGAAGGTTGCAGCCAGGGCAGCTGGACAGGCTTCTACATCCGCTGGACAGCCCAGAGCAGAAATGGGGTGCTGGGCCTGACCCCTACAGTCCTGCACTGCTCCATGGGAGGGGGGTAAGGAGGGGCAGTGCACGAGGTCTATGCTAACAAGCAGCTACTTTCCTAGCCCCAGGGGCTCCCGCTGTGCACTGAGAACAACTGGGGATTGTTGTACTGAGCACATAGCTTGGAGCTGCTCTGTGACAGCAGGATCACATCCCTAGGTACACACTGCACGTGGATGCACCGAAGGAGAGGCAGGCTGGGCCCATGAGTCCCCACTCCTTACCCTAAAGGCAGCAGCACAGGGGCTGGGCCCCCACCCCCCACCACTGCTCCGCTCCTGGAGGCAGCTGCAAAGATCCACCTCATTCCACTTCCAGCCCACCCAGCCCTGGTGATGCCTAGAGCCCTATGTCCAGCTCAGACCGCGGCTCACCCCAGGAGAGCTCTGTGCAGTGGAAAGGGGACAACAAGGACCCTTGCCAGCAGCCAGCTGTGCTCCAGCCAGAGCCCTGAGAAGCTCTCTGTGCCCTGGCTGGCCTGGAAGGAAACAGAGGGGAGCCCAGGAGAAGCCATTTGCCAGATCCTTCTGCACAGGTGTTAATTTGTGCTGCTAAATGCCAGGCTCTTCCGGAGAGCAGGGCTCCATCCCCACCCTCCTCCAGAGAGCTAATGAGGCCCCGAACTGTCCCTTTGATGTAGCTCCCTACGTTCAGACACCTGATGCAAACAGTGTCTGGTAGGCGGAGGCTCTGTCTGGCCTTTCACTGCTGTCTGAAATGCTAACAAGAGCCAAGAGGCTGTGGGGACTTGTGGTCCAACCCAGGGACAGTTCAGAGCTCTCCCAGGGGTTTTGAGAGCTGCTTGAGGAGAACCCCACAGGGGACTGACTGGCAGCTGCCCTCTGACCCCTACAGAATGGCTACAGCCCAGAGCCTTCCTGCTCTCTGGTAGCAGCAGGCCCAAAGCCTGGGGGCAGACCAGTGGCACAAGACAGGCCTGGCCAGGCCCGAGCATGGCAGGCTGGGCAGAGGCTGCTTGTGACCCAGGTGACCAGCAGTCCTCATAGAGGGGGACCAGTTGGACTGGTGTCCTTCCCCATTGTGCTGAAAGATCGGGAAGGACACTGGGAAAGTTCCAAAACGAGACCAGTTGTCATTTCACCTCCTCCCTCCAAGAGCTGGAGGATTTGGGGGCAGGAACAAGTGCTTCAGCATCTCAGAGCTGGCTTTGGGGTCATGGGACACCATGAGCAGGCATTGTCATTCACAGTAATCCCACCTCCCCTCTACCTGCCCTTGGCCACTGGATGGGAGCCTCAGCGTAAAAACTCCTGGCCCCAGCACAAAGGGGGAGGGAAGGGACTCGACTTTGTTGATGACTCCGGAGGATACAAACAATCCATCATCTCCTCCCTGCTCCCGGCAGGTCCAGGCTGCCCCTCACGCAGGCCATTTAATTAACAGGAAGGATCAGGCTGATGGATGGGCCGTTTAACAAGATAAATCAGCTGGCGCGGGAGGGAGCACGCCCTCCCTTCCGTGGAGCTGGGCAGTGGAGCGGGCATGTGAAATGGGGGGGGTTCCATGGCGGCTGGTACTCCCTTGGCCCCAGAGCAGGGCATTGATTAAAGTGAGAGGGTGGGGGAGGCAGTGCATGCCCTTTCCACTGCCGCAATATCTGCACGTCAGCCTCCCTGCTCCCAGCTGGGCGCGTGTAGCTCAGCTAATCTCTCCTGGTTCTGGGGTCAAGGCAACAAGGGGGTGGAGGGGAGCGCATCTCTCAGCTGATCCCCTGCAAGGAGGTGGCTATGCTCGGGCAGCTTCCTTCCCTGCGCGGGTGCCAGTAGCAGTTTGAGCCCCAGCAGTGGGGGCTTCTGGCCTGGCTGTGGGGAGCAGCCCCTGGGGCAAGGGGTCTGTGGTTAGCCTGCTGTAGATGCAGCACAGAAGATGGCTCAGTTCGCTGCAGGGAGACGCAGGGCAGAGCTGCGAGCATGACTGCCCAATGGCAAGTTGATGCCTTTACAAAGAGGGAGGAAGAGGCAACCCCAAGACCCCAAGTTGCATGACACTGGGGACAGAACACTGCAGCCCTTGGGGACCCCCATTACCCTTTAGCAAGCGCCCAACTCAAACCAGGCCTCACACCACCCACCCCAGTCCCTGCCCCCTGCTGCAGGCAGGTACATCGCACCTGCAATGGGAACCTCTCAGCCCTGCAACCCAGCCAGACTGGGGTCATTCACAAACAGCCCTGTGAGCATTGCTACCCCCTTGGTCAGGCAGGAAAAGGGGAAGCAGGAGAAGGGAGCAGCTTGCCCCAGGCTCAGCTGCAAGGCACCAGCAGAGCCACAATAAGAGCAGCCCTGCTGAGTCTCCTGCTGCCATGAGGGAACAAGTGGTGGGGAGGAAAGGCAGTAACCAAGGGCGACCAAAGCAGCCCGTCAAAGTGGCAGGGCCAATTACTCCCAAGAAACACAGCAAGCTTTGAAGAGCTCAGCCGACAAGAGCAGGGAGCCAGCCACGTGCCTCATTAGCAGGGCCCTAAGCAGGGCTCAGCCAGGCAGCTCCAGGTACACAGCTTCCTCCGCCCCCCATTGACAGAGGAACCAGCCAAGAAGACAGTTGCGGTACAGCTGGGGGGCTGGCTTTGCTCTGTCCCTTGCTGCTGGGTAGCTGGGGACACAGCCCAGGCTCCAGGGAAGTGGGGGCTGCAAGGGAGAGTGCAACCTTTCATTATGGCTGGGCAGCAAAGGGCCAAGGAGACTCCTGAAGGGATCCCCTGTGATGGGAGGCTCCGTCACCTCCATCAACACTGCAAGAGATCTGGGCTACATCTGGATGCTACCAGCACCAGGAACCCTGGTGTTTGAGTTCAGGAGAGCTCAGGGTAACTGCGAGAGGCAGAACAGGCCCAGGCTGAGCGGGAACCTGCATCAGTGAGCAGGGCGAGGCAGCCTGCTGGCTGGTCTGCTTGGCAGGAGAGGCACAGCCAGAGCCTTCCAGGAGATGCTGCTCGGGTTCATGGCCTCCAGCCAGCTCTGACCGCAGCCGCTCCCCGCAATCCACTGCTCAACCAGAGCTCTGCCCTTCCAGAATGAGTTAACCTGGCCCCAGCCCAGTACTGTGCCAGGATCTGCAGCACATCCCCCGCAGCCGGGGGCTCTGTCATGCCCATGAGCCACCTTGTTCCAAGGGCTCGCTTTGCTCTGTGCTGCCTCTCTAGAGGTGTAGGCTCCCACAAAGACCCTTCATGCCTTGCTTGCTTTGGGGGCTAACCGCACAGCCCTGCCCCCATGTCACAATCCAGAGAGGAGTGACAGCAGCACACCCTGCCAGAGGACCTGTTCCTGGATGTGTGGTGGCACTCCTAAATAGCTCAGAAGCCAGCCCACAGTAGCAAAGGGGAATGGCAGCACAAGGAAGGCCAGAGCTGGTGCCCCTATGAGTTGTGCAACCTGCATCTAAAGGAACATGCAGGGCAGAGCAAGCCCCCTCCCCAGGCCCCTTCTGTCTGCCACTTCCCAGAGAACAAATTGATCTGTTGCTTCCCCTGAAAGCTCCGGTCTTTGGAGCCAGCCCCAGCCCCACAGCTGTGACATTAGAGAACAATAATGAACTTTGGGGATGCAGATGCTGCTTCCATGTAGGAGACCAAGCACAAACTTAATTGCAATTTTCAGCATTATTGAGAGAGAAAGACATGCTTAAAATGAAATTCAGTCTCCAGAGTGACAGGAGAGGAGGGAGAGGAGGGGAAGCCCCGTGTTATTTTGCTTGTGAATGGAATGTGTTTTCTGTAATTCTTTCTGTGAGCATCACATCTGGCCAGCCAGCACACGACCCCGCAGCAGCCCTTCCTGCAGCTGAGAAACCAACATCCACTGGCCTTGCCCCTGCAAATAAATTAACTCTTGGGCTCCCAGATGTCATGGCCAAGCAGGGAACTGGCACCAAGCTAGGACTCGCACTGGCAAGGCCAAGCCTTTTTTTGTACCTGGGAACCCGACCACAACTGGACGCAGCTGTCTCCCCTCTATGAGCAGCCAGGCTCACCAGGCTGAGGTCTTCAGCCCTCATTACCAGGGGAGGTCTGAGAAATGCCCACTTGGGAAGTGGAAGGCAGCAAATGCAGCCGCCCACCTGGGAAGTGGAACAGGCAGCAAATACAGTTGCCCCAGATGAGCAGGTCACTGGCCTTACCTTCTGTGCCTGCGAGGGCTCAGTGAGGACCAGGGTGAAGAGGCCCAGGCAGATCTCCTCGTGCTGAGGAGGGCCTTTACACACCTGGGAGGGGGAAGAAAGCAGCATGGATGAGCAACCCCTGCAGCACCCAGAGAGATCTTCACTGATGACCTTAGCACCAATGCTCTGGCAGGGTCAGAACAGGGAAGCTCAGCACTAGGGATCAGACACCCGCAGGGACCACCACTACAGAGCAGCAAGAGAGCCCAGAGGCTGAACTGGCCTGTAGAGGCCATGGGGCTCCATGCAGGCATCTTGCACAGACCCTCCTCAGTTCTAATGCTCTGGTCAGAAAATGCTTCAGTGCCTCCTGAGAGCCAGGCCAATGCCATGACAGCAAATGTGCCTACAGGGCTCTGGGACGAGAAGTTTGGAGGACACAGAAGGGGCAGTGCCCAGTCCAAACTGAGCATTGGTTTCCAGGGGGTTTTACTAGACAAGGGGGATTGGTCTGTTTGTTTTAATGGACCAAGGGAAGCCTCTGGTCAGTACCCAGACCCCTCCAGCTCCCACTGCTGCCTGATGGCCCACATGTCTGTTTTCTCCAGGAGGGAGTCCCTTCTCCTTGCTGAGGTTACCCCTTCCCTTGAAGCCCTAGCACTTACGTGTGCATTCAAGGCATCGTTGGCTTCTCTCTCTGACAGCCCACTGGTCAGTGAAGTCAGGATGCCAACGCATCTTTCTAGTCTCTGAAACAGACCAAACAGATTGATGCATAAACAAGTGGGCATGTGGCCCTGGACACCCATCTCCCCTGCCACTTAGCCTGCCAGGCCAGAAACAGCACATTTGGGCCACAATGTCCCCACAAATTTGAGACCTCCGTAGGCAGGGTGACTTCCCAGCCATCACTGCCAGGCTCCTTGGATATGTATGCAGGTGGGCCCACAAGCAGAGCTCTGGTCAGCATCTAAAATCCTGGTTGTTCCACGCTGCTGGGGGAAGGCTGATGGGAGATGCTGCCAAGGGAAGTACTGATTATGCTTGGGATACAGCCTGTGCTGTGGTGAGGGGAACACAGTAAAAGCCAGAGTGGTATGAAAGTCAGTGTCCAGGCCCCAGAACCACCCCCTGGCTGGAGAAGCGACTGCCTCAGAGCTGCTTCCTTATTCCCAGGTTTGCTTTAAACTTTCTGCTGATGCTCTGGGTAGAGCATCACTCAAGCATCTCTTGGATCCAAGAAGCCTTGCACAACAGCCAGACGGGACCGGGGAAGTCGATCCCCGTTATGAGAGCAGAGCTGGAGCTGCAGTGACCTGTGCTCCCTGGAGCTGCCAACTGGGACACAGGTACATTCTGCCTCGGTGACAAACTGGCCCCAGCCCACTCTGATGCCGTGAGGTTGGAGCTGGCACATGCAGGTGATCAGGTTGCAAGCAAAAGTCCCTGCCTTTCACATGCATGTGGGCACTGTGCTGGCAAGGTGCTGAGCTGCCCACCCAGGAGTGGATGCCCTCTGCTCCAATTCCTTCATAGCTTCAGAGAAGCTTATGATGAAAGCAAACAGCAGGAGCAACTGCATCTGTGCTGGCATCTCCAGTACTGAAGGGACTGCAGGAGCTGCACGGAACCAGCATGTGGGCAGCACTGATCACGAGCAAGGCCATGCACGTGTGACAGCTTCCAGTTCGTGCAACTGACCCAGTGCAGCCACGGCAGGTTGCGGGGGCATCTGCTGCTCCCATCCTCTGGATGTCAAGATAACTCAGCTAGCAGAAGAGCTGCCAAGCGAGCCAACACCTGGCTGCTTCATCAGCACTGTGGAAGCTCAAGAAAGGGGCTGTGATGCTGGGGCTGGTACCCTTGTCCCAACACCTCCTGCAGGCTGGTGTAGGAATACTGGCTAACACCCCCCCCGCCCCCCCCCCCCCCCTTTTGCCCCAGGGGGTCATGCACAGCCACTCCGGGTATCCACTGCAGGGCAAACATGACAAACCTGAATACCTGCCAAGCTTAATGCCCCCTGGCTCTCTCTTCTAAATGTCTGCTCTGCGCCATCACGAGCAGCATCAAGAACCAAGACTGGTAAACGAAGGGAAGAGCTCCGTTTGGCCAGGCTCCTGCCCCACATTAACATGCCATCTGGGACCCGCTCTGGAGTGCTGAAGAGCCCCAGCCCAGGCAGCTCCTCAGACTGCTCCTGACCACATGCCCCAAATTGGCAGGATGAAACCCACCTGGCCACAGCTGGGAGAAATCCAGAAGGCAGGTGGCCAAAACCCCCTCTCAACCCCAGAGGGGCTTGAGGGATTCTCTGTAGCTGCATGTCTGCAATCTAATCGCCTCCCCAGAACAACACCCAACAACTCTGGCTCTATAGGGGACAAGCACAAGAAACAAGGCTGAGTGCAAGCACTGTGACAAGGAGGGGACAGGCTGCAGTCAAAGCCTGGCACCAGGTCCATCTCCCATGGCAAATCCAGACCCAGTGCCCAGCCATAGCGCACACACACGGCTGTTATGGGGCTCGCAGGCTCCGGCACCCCCTCATGGCACCAAATCCAACTCAGAACAAGGCAGAGCCATGGGATGACACAGCCTGAGGCCCAGCCCAGCCTGCACCCCCACTGCTTCCACCCTGGTGCCACATGGGGGAAATGTGGCTGCCAGTTTTTGTCCCTGCAACCACAGCTGGGCTGTAAAAGCCCCTACAGAGCTCCTGGTTAATCCCGGGCTCATTTACATGGTCCACAACTTGTGGCAAGAAGCCAGGCTAAGTGATGCCCTGCCCTTCCCAGGGAGACATGACCCCAGTGCTGCAGCTAAGCTCAGCCTGATCTAAGTGCCACAAATGCCACCTGTACACATGTACAGCAGCCAAAGCCCCAGATGGAACAACTCCCCCTCTTCCATCGCTGCTGAAAAGATGAGACACTTGACAACCACCTGTAGCCAGTTACTATACCTGGGACAAACCAGCAGACCCCAGCCTGCTCCTATAGCCATGCCAGCTCCCAGTCAGAGGGAGCTGTCAGAAGTGACCCAGATGCCTGCTCACCAGGGCTCACAGGAGTTATTGCTATATATTCACAAGGCCATGAGCTCTTGGGCTGACAGAGGCACTTACATGGAAAGGAAGAATAATTCCATGCACTGTGGGCCAGTTGACATGACCACAGCCTTCCTTAGGATGCTAAAATCTACCACTAGTCCTAGAGACTGTTTTAGCTCCCTAAGAGCCATTTCTTGCACACGTACCTAACACTAGGTGGGCAATCCAAGAATGTGGCCTCGGTTCTATTTTATGGCCCGAACCCACAGTTAATCTACACATGTGCTGTGGCTCTGTCGTGATGGAGCACCAAGGGTACCTGGAAGAGCAGCTGCAGGATGGGAACGAGAACAGTCATTTTTTGACTGCAGAAGAAACTGCACACACATACACACACTCCATGTGCCTGTGCGCCTGCCCGTGTGTAAGCACTGGTGTGCCGTATCTGCAGGCCTGCCCACATGTGAACTGCACACATACCTATGGGCCTGCCCACGTGTGAGCACCAGTGCGCCCGACCACATGTGAACTGCATGCAAGTTCGTACACTTGTGGGCCCACCGGTGTGTGAGCGCTTGCACACATGCGTGGGAACATACATTTATTTTCCTGGTGATGAACAACCCCATTCTCTCTCTCCCAGAATGGAGTTAGCAAGTTCCTCCTGCTCAAGTCTTTGCAGGGAGGGACATTCAGATACAAAAACCCGCAGCTGAAGCACCAGGAGCTGAACCACCCTGCGTGGCAGCTGTGAGGGAAACCATTCTCCTCTCAGCCTGATCTCTGCTTCCAAGCAACCTGCCCAAAGACAAGTGCATCTTCTCGACCAGAGGCCTGCACGCTGCAAGCTCACCAAGGGAGTTTTGGTTTCTCACGCTGGACACAACACATTCCGAAGGGACACGGCTGGGCTACCCGGCTCTCATCCTTGCCTGTACTCGCGCTGCAAGTAGTACGGTTAAAAGCGAAGACTGGGAAAGAAATTCCTTGCAAGCCGAGAAGTGGATACTCTGGTCACTCAACAGGCCGTGCACGCAGTCCCCTTTCCCCTGGATCTCCTGCTTCCTGTTTGTATGGGTCTCGCATGCAGAAGTGCGGACGCAAACGGGAAAACAGGCCGGCAGAGTGCGCCGAGAGGCTTGGGAACGCGGGAGGGGGGTGGCCAAGCACAGTCTGAACCCACGTCTCAACAAAGATCCAAACTGAAGTCGACGACAGTCCGTGACTTAAAATGGACAAGCGTGCCAGAAGTTACTGCCCAAGGACTGACGCGGAGAGCAGTGTCACGACTCCAGGGTTCTCTTCCCGCACCTGATGCTTGCCCAACGGGAGGACCTTGGGCAGCCCTGTGCCCAGGCGAACTTAATTCCTGTTCCTGGTGTCACAGGACAGCGCACAGCGCCAGGGGACCAGCCCCGAGACCAGGTCATTCCTCTCCTGCCTCCTGCTTTCCTCTGTCACCAAACCCCCTGCTGCAGCTCAGAGCTCCCAAACACGTCAGTCCCTGGGTCAGGGCAGCTCCAGCCTGTGGGAGGGGCACGTGGGCACTGGTGCAAGAGGGTGGCTCATGTGCGGCCTGAAGCGACGCTCTTTTGCCTGCCCACAGCTTCGCGCAGGCAGCCTTCAGCAACAGCCCCTGGGCAGGCATGGCGGGCACCCACGGGTTGGCACAGAAAGAGGCCGTGAGGAGCCACAGGGCATGTGTCAAAGGGCCCCAAGGCTCAGGCGAGCTGCTGTAGCCGAACACCTGGATCTGGCCCTACACCCCTGCTCCTTCTCCCTGGCTCAGCCCCGCACACCTCCTCCGTGGGGGAAACTGAGGCACGGGCAGAGATGACCCCCCTGAGCTCTGCCCACCCACCAGGCTGACCCTCCCCCCGCAGGGAAACTGAGGCAGGGGATGGAGACGAGCCCCTAAAGCCCACCAGGAGGACCCTCCCCACGCCCCATGCTCCCCAATGGGGAAACTGAGGCGGGGGGGAGACGACCCCCCGCCCCCCCCAACCCGGGGAAACTGAGGCAGGGCCGCACCTACCTCCTCCAGCTCGTCCTTGGCGTCGAGACTGGTGGACTGCAGCAGCTTCCCGCCCGCGCCCCCCTTGCCCTTGGGCATGTCCATGGCGGGGGGGGGGGCCCTGCCGCGCGCCCGGGAACCCCCCCAGCGCCTGCCCC